AAATTACGAAAAAAGAAAATAATAATAAAAAAGAAATTACAAAGAAAATGAAAAAGAAAAATATAAAATAAAATAAAAAAAAGAATTGATCGAAGAAATAAAAAAAAAAAATAAATAATCGATCTTGATTTTTGATATTGGAAATCCGAAATCATTTTATGTATTTGAATTTTATTTATTTACAACAAATATTCGAATATTCTATTTTTCAAACGGAAACCCTAGTTCGTTAATTCGTCTTTTTTTTTTTATTTTTGTTATTTTTTCTTTTTTTATTTAATTGAACATTCTCTTCGGGTCGTTTTCTTTGATGTCATTATTACATTTGTATAAATTTAACTTGCAAATCCTTAAATGGAAGAATTAGTTTTTTATTTTGTTTCTCCTTCTTAAACTTTAATCGTAAAACTATATAAAGAACGTCGAAAGATTGTACATTTTTATTAAGCAAACAACTTCAATTTTTGGTTAGTTTAGACATTTACAATGATTAATGCTTTAGATTAGTTATACTTCACAACGTTTATGAATGAAGGTTCAGTTTATGTCTTTATATATAATAAACAAGATAAAATTTGATTTGGATCATTGAGTTACGCCTCAGGCCACCCTAATTACGTTATATGATCCGTAATGATATCCTTTTAAAGCATTACCGTCATCCACTTCGGAAATCCTTTTCAGAACGCCACATTTCCTCATCTTCATTTTAGCAAAATGACTTTTAAAATAAAGTCAAGGAAATAGAATCCATCAACATATCAAACAATCAAAACTTATATTTTGAATCCATTTATATTTTTAAAAATATCAATTGAAAGGAAGTAATGAATTGATAAATAAAGTTTTAAAAAGTGCTGCGAAAACTCAAAAATTTCAAATATAATAATACCACACCAAGATCATATATCATTTATTAGATTTCATAAATTATATACAGTATAAAAAAATAATAAAATGATTCTAAATTATAAATTATAAGTAAAATTTTAGTTTGGACATTCATATACATCCCAAGCATCTTCAGTACCATGAAAATGCCAACATTTATCCCCATCATTGTTGATTGGACCGCGCCATTTATCATCTTCAGTAGAGGAAGCAACTCCGAAAACAAGCCAAAATGTTGTATAATTTTCAGGGATATACAAATGATAACCCTTGTGAGCAGATGCTCCTTGCTGGTCGATAGCATGGCTACCCCAGCTCCAGTGTCCTTTTTGATTATGTTCGGTGGCTCCAGCATCAGTATAAGTACCAGATGCTGCCCTGTTCTGTATCCATACGTTATGGCCTGCACGTTATTCGACAATTAAATATAAAGTTATTAATGCGAGCATATGATTATTAAAATGTTCTTTCACGATCATTCAAAAGTTTACCTTGTATGAATGGCATTAAAGCTAGTAGGCCAAAGATGAATGTAATAGAAATGAAAGATTTCATGATGAATAAAA